CACTGCCTCTCCCCAGAGCCCTGGGAAGGAGTAAGATGACCACCAGCCTGCATGGCTGCAACTCAGCAAAAGCTCTGAGCATCCTCCAAATCCTGGGTGTCCCCACACAGTTCCAGTCCAGTCCACCCTCCCTCTGCTGGAGCCCAAGGTGAGTGGCTGTGGCTATTTTAGCGTCGGTCCTGGCTCTGCACTGTGGAACCGCTTGGGAGTTTAACCTGAGGGTGCTGCTCACAGCTAAGGCTGCTGCTGTCTGTGGGTTCCCAGCCCCCCTCTCACGCCTCCGCAATCCTACCAGGATCAGGTCAGTGTCCCTGGTTATATGTTCCTCGCAAGCTGCTTTTTTTCTTTTTTTTTTTATTCTCACCCGAGGACATTTTTTCCATTTTTTGTTCAGATAGAGTGGGAGGGAGAGAGAGGAAGAGAAAGAGAGAGAAAGAGAGAGAGAGAGAGAGAGAGAGAGAGAAACATTGATGTGAAAGGGACATATTGAGTGGCTGCCTCCTGCATGACTCAAGCAGGGCCGGGGACAAACTGCAATTGAGGCATGCACCCTAAGCAGGAACTGAATGCAGGCGTCCCTGGACTGCAGGTTGATACTCTAACCACTGAGAAAACTGGCCAGGGCACAAGCTGCTTTTCTGTTGCTTTTTCCTGACGATTTGCCTTTATTTTAGTTGTAATTCCAGTTTGGTCCTGGGAGATGGTCTGTGTAGCTTCCATTCTCTCCACCGCCATTTTTTCTGTTGCCCGCTTTTAAAGGCACAAACTTCAGAAAAAAACTAAATTCTCTTGGTGCCGCTTTTGACACCGTTAAGGAGGGGGGGAACTGATAGAAGGGGGACAAGAGGAGCTGTTAGGTCAGGGCAACCATTAATCTCTTTCTTCTCATGGTTCCTCTGAGTTTCCCAAGGCCTTCATTAACCCCTTATCTTTATAGTTTTCTTTGGATTTCTCAAGGCCCTTATGTTTACAAAAAAAACCTGCCAGGATGTGTATGTGCAGTGTCGGAATGGAGTTATTACATCTCCACTGGTTTTATGTACAAGTCAAATCATTGACCTTTTTTTTCTTTCTCATTAAGGATACTAACTCTGTCCCTGTATTGTTCCCGAATTATTGGCATAGAAACAGCAGGTTTTGCCCAGTGCCACACAGAGTCCTTCCTGTTTGAGGAAAAAGAGATCTAAACCTTGTTGTTTTGTATTGCTGGAGGTTATACTTAGGTGGGAATATGTAAGTCCCTTACCCCTGGATCTCCCCAAAGTTAACTTGGCCTGGTCCCTGCTTCTTAGATAGCATTTAGTAGTAAATATGGTTTCACAATACTAAGATGGACAAAAGTATTGATTTGCATTCAAGTAACTTGTGGTGACTGTACCACTCCCTGGGCATATATAGATTCCTATCCCTTGTAGTCCCATTCCCCAATAGGTGTCCCACAACCCCAGGGTATGGGCCCTTTTATATGACATCAATCTTCAGTAATACTATCTGTGCCTATGGTGCCTCTCATGAGGTCACATAGGTCGAGATTGAAAACAGGTTTTCTATCCCCTTTGTGATGACATTTCTTAAGACCTCCCCCAATATCCCATTTTTAAGTTCCCAGTTCCACTGGGGCCAAGATCTATAAAGATTTCCCTGTATAGTCATAATCAGAAAAATTAGAGTCCCAATAAACGTAAGAGTCTCATTTTTAAGGGATCTGGAGAGGCCTGGACCGTCCATTCTGTTTTTCCTGCCTTCAGCTGGGAATGGTACAGCCAGACCAGGATGCCGTTGACCTTGACAGCCATTGGTGCAGGCAGGATGACAGTGTATGGTCTCTTCCAGGCGAGTCAGTCCCTGGGTGGTGAACTTCTTTACCCATATCAAGTCCCTGGGCTAGAAAGGGTGCACAGGGTCCGAGGTGGGCACAGGCAGGGCGTAGCAGACATGTTTATTAACAGCTTTCTGGGCAGACTGCAGGGCCTGCAAGAACTGTAAGAGGGTGAGTGGGAGCAGAGTGGTCCAGTTTTCACCGATTTCTAAAGTAAATTTTATTAAGGTTTTCTTTAAGGTAGCTTTCAATTTATATTTAACCTCTTAGAGATAACCTGTGATATCTTTGCTACAAAGGCAGGGCTATTGTCTGATCCAAGGGGCAGGAGTAGCCTAAGCCTATTACTCCCTTTACTACATCTCAGACTGTTATTCCATTACCAGAGGCAAGCTCTCCCTCTCTCAGTGTCTTATTTTTTTCCCTTCTTGAGTATTCCTCCAATGTCCTGTCTTCCTGTAATATGTATGTCCCTTTCTTTTATCTTTTCTTTCCCACCTTTTGATTTCTTCTGTTTATTTTCTCTACACAATCCTTCTTCAACTTGCACAGACCCTCTGCGACTTTCCTAGTCCCTCCCCTGACACGAACCTGAGAGCTTGCTCAATCTATCTGCTGTCTGCACCTCCCCAGCTTTTTTTCTCCTCCTCCCTACTTAGACCCACACATTCCTGTTTTTCTAAACCTTCTCCCTTTTCCTGTGACCTTACTGGATATTGCCTGTCTCTCTGGAGTTCAGTAAGCTTGGTGTACCTAAGTGGGTAGTCTGGTGCAGCTGGTTGACTAAAGTCCAACCTAGAGCCTCTGGGACTAATAACCTCTCATCAGGCAGTGTCCATTGTCCATTGATTTCCTTTATGGCTTGTTTCTGCTTGGCTAAGTCATTTTCTGACTTAGTGTATCTGGAGAGGCCCCATTGTTTTTAGGTCTGCCTCCTAAGCTTTCTGATCTGCAGCAGATCTTCCTTGCCCCATTGGAGAGCCTGAATTAGGGCTATGAGTTCAGCCTGTTGGGCTGAAGTTCCTCTACTTAATGACTGTGACCAAATGACACAGACCAGAGTTATTATTGCTGCCCCGGCATACCTGATTTCTTCCTGGACATAGCTGCTTCCATCTGTGAACAATATCTCATCTGATGATGACAATGGATATCCTTGAGGTCTGGGCGGGCCGTCTGCACTATGTTGATTACCTCCAGGCAGTCATGCAAAGGTTTCTCTGGGTCATTGTCTAGAAGCAGGATGGCAAGATTGATGGCCAACGTCTTGTGGAATTTGGTGGGGTGCTGGCCTAGAGTGGCAGTGGCCAGCAATCGAACAGTCACTGAAGAAGATCACATTTGAGTAGGGGTTATGGGCACTCCGGCATGACCAGAAATGAATGAGTCATAGTATTTTTCCCAAGATCTATAGTCTTCTTTGAAGTCCAGGGGTAAGTTAGAGCCCCACTGGCTCTGTCAGGACTGAGTCTGCTGCACTAGTATCTACCAGGGAACTAACTAGTTTGTCCCCTATTGTCTTGTCTCCCAGGGGGTGCTCAGTTGGAAGGAGCCCTAGCCCTGTCATTCTTCTAAGTTAAGGACAGCTGGGATATGTCTGTTTGCCTTGTCTCTCCTTTCTGGCCATTTTGGGCACTCTTGCTTCCAGTGTCCTTCCTCTTTACTGTAGGTGTATTGGTTCTTCCCTAGTTGGGTCCTGGGCCTGCCATCCTGACCCTTCCTAGGGTGATCCTTTTCTATGGGCTCTGTTTCCCTTAAGGTTCCTTTTATTACTTTTGCTATTCTTTTACCTTGTTCTTCCCCAGGGGTGTCCCTGTTGAGAATTTAACTCTGTACCCATATTTATTTCTAAAAGCTTCCATGAAATTCTATAAGAGGCATCTGAGGGGGGTCTTTTGGGAACCTTGCCTATTATCCATTCTCCCTAGGCAGATAAGTTTAGCTGCAAGCTGGCCTCAGATTAAACAGAAAAAAGAAGACTGAGAATTAACAAGCATCGTGGAGCACAGTCACTCACACACAATTACATTCACACAGTCACATTCACACACCAGAAGTTTCCAGGAAGTGATCAGACTCTCCTTCCGCCCCACTGGTGGGCCAAGGAAAATTCCTTATCCAGTGGGAACAGAATGAACCCCACCTAACGTCTGAGGGGGATTCTCAGGAGAGGAGAGGCTGCGCCATGTCCGGCCCTCTTACTCTCACCCAGAAAGACTGGTCACCCAGAACCTATCTCCAGAGGCTTTTACAAAGTCTCCTTTAATCTTTTTGGGGATGTCTTGGCATCTCCCAGCCACTTGTTGAAAATCCAAGTAGGATCTTCAGGGCCCTGGAACTCAAGAGGCGCCTCCCCTCAGATCTCTAGGGATCAGGAAAGGCTGCCCATCCTAGGCATCTAGCCCTTGGAGTCACAAAACACCAGGTATCTCTCTGGGGCCTCCAAATGGTCAGCGAGATAACTAGAGATGCACAGCTGAATTGTAAAGGAGCACTTTATTCACTGGTGGGCTGAAGGGGGGCTCTCCCCAAATCGACAGCCCCAAGCCTTCTTTGTTGCCCACTTTTAAAGGCACAAACTTCAGAAAAAAACTACATTCTCTTGGTGCTGCTTTTGGCACCATTAAGTGGGGGGACTGATGGAAGGGGGGTGAGAGGAGCTGTTAGGTCAGAGCAACCATTAACCTCTTTCTTCTCATGGTTCCTCTGAGTTTCCCAAGGCCTTCATTAACCCCTTATCTTTATAGTTTTCTTTGGGTTTCTCAAGGCCCTTATGTTTACAAAAAAGAAACTCCCAGGGTGTGTATGTGCAGTAACAGAGGGTGATATTACAATATCACATGTCCCATAACTTCTGGAAAACTCCACTATTTGATCATGAGAGGAAATGAATGGAAAAATCAAATAATATCTTAGAATTATTATGAAAATAGTCTTGCTTTCACAGAAAAGGCAGGGGGTTGCCCCCCAGGGGTTCCCTGGAACTCACTCTGAAAACTGTCATGGTGGTACGATGTAGGCATGTTTTAGGGGGTGGGGAAACATGAAGGCCTTTCAACCTCAGCCTAAGAATTCACTTTCGGTGGACAAATGAACTTGAGCATGTTTTCAAGCTACATCTTGAAAACATAAGGAAGCATAAGGAAGAAGTCAGCTCTGCTCCTCTGCTCTCCACCCGCAGGTGTGGAGTCTGTCAGAACAGGGGACCCTGCTGGACATCCTGGAAGGCGTCGGGGCCCCCGTAAGCCTTCTGGCCCAGAGTGGCGCCTTGGTGGCATCTGCTTCTCAGCAGTCCTCATCCTTCAAAGTCTGGGACCTCACTTACATTCAGAAGCCAAGGGTCTCTGCCCCATTTCTGGACCGCACTGGCCTCACTGCCATGTCACACAATGGCAGCTACATTTACTTCCCCAAAATTGGGGACAAAAACAAAGTCATCATTTGGGACTTGGCAGAAGGTTTGTATGATATAAGCACTGTCATTTGTGTGGGTAAGCACTGAAGCCCCCGTTTTGGTTTATTCGGGCCACTATGACGGAATACCATCACTGGGGAGCTTAAACAACAGACATTTATTTCTCACAGTTCTGGAGTCTGGGAGTCCAAGGTCAAGTATCAGCACATCAAGTATTTGATGAGGGTTCTCTTCCTGGATTGCAGATGGCCATCTTCTCACTGTGTCCTCACAGTGAGGGAAAGGAGAGAGCAAGCTCTCACGTCTCCCCTTTAGGGGCACTCATCCCAGCCAGAGGGCTCCACCCTCATGACCTAATCACCTCCCAATGGCTACACCTCCAAACACCGTCACATTAGGGGTTAGGATTTCAACGTATGTATTTGGGAGGGGCACAAACATCCAGTCCATATCACCCTCATAACTCCAGTGAAATGGGAAGTGACTAATAGAAAATGGGAGTTGGTTTTACAAATTTCTGGCATAAGGCAATTGATAACTGGCCTTATTAGTCTCTGTTTTAGTTCAGGTTCCCCTGAAAGCAGGGCATGTGATGGGGATATTTGCCCAAGTGGTGTGTAGAGGGGAGCTCCCAGGAGAGGCCTGCGAGGGAGTGAAGAAGCAGGCTGGGGCTGGGAAGGACTGAGTAAGGGTGGGGGGCTCGGCCTGTTCCCACAGGGAGCTGCAGAGCATAAATTGCACCTCAGAATTTTTCCCATTTGAAGCAAGAGGACCAGCCTTTTGTGCCCTCTATCAGGCAGTCATTTTCCTGGTGCCATCCTTGGGAGTAGGCAGAGCCCCCAGGCATTTCCAGATGAGAGCTCCCTTCTCGGGGGCAGTGGCAGCCTTGGGTCTGGGGGAACGGGCTGTGTTACCAACAGTATCTGGGACAGTCCCCACTGGGTGAATGGAGATATAGAAATTCCTGTTTATGATAAAATAATTTAAGAAAAGAAATTCATTCTCAAGTTTATGCATTCATTGACTTGACAGATTTTTGTTTAGTGCCAGGCTCAGGGGGAAGGGAGTTGGTGAGCAAGACAGATTCTCAAGGTGCTTGCCTGTTAGTTGTGAGGCAAATAAGACACAAAGAAACAAAGCATTGTAGGGGATAAGCTAGACCTGAGGGCCAAGTACAGATAGACCCGTTTGTGTATTTTCTGTGGCTGTTTGGGGGCTACAAAGACAGAATTCAATGGTTGCAACAGAAAGCATATAGTCGGCAAGGCTAAAGTATTTACTCTTCAGCCTTTACAGAAGTTTATAAAGGAAACATTTGGGAAGAGGTCTGAGAGGTCATGTGAGGGGAGTGGAAAGTCACTGGATGGTGGTATGCAGGGCAGTGACATGATGTATTTTTACTTTGAAAATCTTGGATGGTTTGGGGCAGGGGTGGAAGCAGGGAAACTTGTAGTAGCCATGTTGAAGTTTATGGATAATGAAAGTATTGAAAATCAGAAAAACCGTGGAAGGAGTGTTCCTATGATCCATTCTTGATGAGGTCTTCTCCCTGTGGCAGGTGAAGAACAAGATGCCCTGGACACCTCCAGTGAGGTCAGGTGTCTGGAGGTCGCCGAGCAGGCCAAGCTCCTTTTCACTGGCCTCATTTCCGGCATCGTCCTGGTGTTCCCCCTGAATTCCAGGCAAGATGTGACATGCATCCCCCCTCCAGAAGCCCGGAAAGCCGTCAACTGCATGGCCCTGAGTAAGGGCGAGGAGTGCCTGGCCATCGCCTATGACAACATTGTCCTGGTGTTGGATATTATTAACCCCAGGGACCCCTGTCCAGTCATCGATGGGCCAATCTACACCTTCTATACCCAGCTGCCTGTGACCATATCCAGTGTGGCAGTCCTGGCTGACTACCGTGTGATTTACGGCATGACCAATGGTGACCTCTTCCTTTACGAGTGTGCAAATTCCAAAGTGTTCCCTCTGGAGGCCCATGGGAGCCGGGTCACCTGCGTGGAGGTCAGCCACAAGGAGCAGCTGGCGGTCAGCGGGTCTGAGGAAGCCCTGCTGTGTCTCTGGGACCTGCAGGCATGCAAGTGGAAATTCGAGATGAGTTACACGGTATGTAGCCATGCTAGGTCCTGGTGTTAGGAAACTGATGACAGGCATCACTGATTAAGTGCGCACACTATGTGCCATTGACCAGGGTCAGGACTAGGATAAGAAAAGTAAGGCACTCACCTCAGGAGCAGAGTTTAAGAGGGTGCCCCAAAACTCAGCAGTCAAGAGAAATAATATTTTAATACAATGTGGTTTTTTTTAATCCTCACCCAAGAATATTTTTTAAAATATCTTTAGATAGAGTAGGAGGAGGGAGAGAGAGAGAGAGAGAGAAATCGATTGGTTGCCTCCTGCATGACCCTGACCAGGGCCAGGGACGAACCGAGATGGAGGTACATGCCCTTGACTGGAATTGAACCCACAGTTCTTTGGTCCTCAGGCCAACACTCTAACTGCTGAGCCAAATGGGCCAGAGCTTAATACAATGTTTTGTTTTGTTTTGTTTTTAAATCCTTACCTGAGGATATTTTTCTATTTATCTTCAGATAGAGTGGGAGAGAGAGAGAGGGAGAGAAAGAGAGAGAGAAACATTGATGTGAGAGACACATTGACTAGTTGCTTCCCGCACCACCCTGACCAGGGCCGGGGACAAACCGCAACCAAGGTACGTGCCCTTGACTGGAATCAAACCCGCAACTCATTGGTCCGTGGGCTGACACTCTACCACTGAGCCAAAGCTGTGCTTAATACAATGTTTTAAAAAGTCACAACAGCCCTGGCCGGTTTGCTCAGCGGTTAGAGCGTAAGCCTGCGGAGACTGGGGTTCAGTTCCCGCTAAGGGCACGTACCTTGGTTGCAGTTTGTCCCCGGCCCTAGTTGGGTCATGTGGGTGGCAGCCACTCAGTGTCCCTTTCATATCTATGTTTCTCTCTCTCTCTCCCTCCCACTCTATCTGAACAAAAAATGGAAAAATTGTCCTCAGGTGAGGATAAAAAAATAAGTCACAACAAATGCAAAAAATCCACAAAGGAAAACATATCAAAGTTTTAAATCAAGACAAGATTTTGTCCTGCCTCACTCTCCCTAACCCTGACTATGTCATTCTTTCACTGACCAGTTTTAACTGCACCACCCATGACAGACTTCTTTCTAGCACTGAGGAAGCAGCTGTGACCAGGGTGACACCAACAATCCCACCAACAATCTTCAAGCCATGTTCTAGTGGGGGTGACACTGAGAGTTCTGTGAAGGCAGAATTTTGTGTTTTGCTCATTGAGATGGCCCTCGCCCTTAGGAGAGCTCCTGACATATTCTCAGGGCTCAATAAATGCCTGTGAAATAAAAATAAAGCAGCAAATATGTGAACGGTTGGGGAACAACAGGCCTTTAGAAAAAAATAGGGCAATGTCAAGAGGGTAGAGAGTAGCAAGGGCTGCTGGTTAAGGTCAAATAAACCCTATGGAATAGCATTCTAGGCAGAAGGAACAGTAGCTGCAAAAGCTCTGAAGCAGGAAACTGGTAACTCCTTTATATACAAAATGTCTTGGAGTTCATACTGCCTATCTCAAGGAGCTATTATAATTTTTGTATCAATATTATGAAGAACTATGTTATATATTTATAGAAAACATATACTATATAAAAATACACATATTAAAATATTCTCTAATTTAACCCTCAACAATCCTGTACCATTGGGGTTATTATTCTAGTTTTTCAGATGGGGAATGAAGACCATACCTTAGGTTGCAAGATGCAAAAGTTGTTAATAAACACAGGGAGATGATCTTGTACTAAGAGAACAGAGTATGAGTAGTTTGATCTTAAAAAGCCTCTGTCCCACCTGACTTACTTATTTTTATGAAGTCACTATAAGGCTGGAATGTAAGTAATGTTTTGTCTCGTTGAGATGGGAAATGTCACCACTGCAGTTAAATACACCTAGCTTTCTGGTAGTTATTTATTTATATCTTTATTGTTGAAAGTATTATGATTTTGTTTTTAAACAAACTTAATTTTGGAATGATTTTAGAATTACAGAAAAGTTTAGATTTACAGATAGTACAAAGGTTTCTATTTATTCACCCTTCATCCAGCTTCCCCTAATGTTAATATTTTATGTAACAAGAGTGTTTGTCAAAACTAAGAACTTAATGTGGGAACAATATTATTAACTAAACTATCAACTTCATTGAAATTGTACGTTTTTGACAAATTCCCATTTTCCATTCCAGGATCCAATCCAGGGTCCCCTCTTGCATTTAGCACAATGCTTTTAGTTAAAGACAATTATAGCTAATACTTCTATAATTGAGGTCATTTAAGAATTAAATCCTAGAATTTCTTCACTACAATGCAAAATATCTCTAAGGCTCAATCCAGTCTCAGTGAAGGTGTGTTTTGACTCTGGAAATATCAATACTACCTGTCCCTCCAGTTTTTCCCTGGATCCATCTCCTGTGGGGTCCTTACAGCCTTGGTTCCTACACACATACCTGGGGGCTGGTTCCTGTGTGTCTTTCAGTCTGAAATCAAGATCACATTGTCTTTTTCAACAGAACTCTTACTGTCGTGGAGTCCAATGTGCTTGCTTCTCCAAGGATGACAAGTATGTGTATGCTGGCTTGAGGGATCGCTCCATAATCGTCTGGAGTGTGTTAGATGGTGAGTCATTTTGCTTTGAGAACAGAACTGATCTTATATCTGGAGAAGAAAGCCCTGTTCTGGCCTCCTCTGGCTTGTTCCCTCCCAGGCCTCTACAGGCTAAGGGGACTGGTGTACCTAGAACTACAGCTCCTTTTCGAGACCCATGTTCTGGGTACTTGGAACTCCAGAACACTTTTCCCATCTGGCCTGAAGCTGTTGCATTCAAAATGATCGGGGACGCGAAGAAAGCATCAGCAGGCAAGATGTATTCAAGATGAATGGAGGGCTACAGCTCTCTCAGGCATGTAGCAAAACTCCTCCTAAACATCATGGTTTTTACTGTGTAAGGTTACATAAATCAGTGCCCCACCACCCAAGGTTACATCTAAGCTCAAATAATGCTTAACTGTGATTTATAAAAAAGGAAAAAGATGCCCTGGCCGGTTTGGCTCAGCGGTTAGAGCGTCGGCCTGCGGTCCGGAGAGACCCGGGTTCGGTTCCTGCTAAGGGCATGTACTTCGGTTGCAGTTTGTCCCCGGCCCTGGTTGGTCGTGTGGGTGGCAGCCACTCGATGTGTCCCTTCACGTCGATGTTTCTGTCTCTCTCTCCCTTCCTCTCTCTCCCTCCCACTCTATCTGTACACAAAATGGAAAAATGTCCTCGGGTGATGATAAAAAAAAAAAGGAAAAAGGTTAAAAACCATCTTAACATGATGTCTTAAGAAAGGAATGCAGCCTATGTGTTCTTAAGATTATTGTAAAGGGAGTTTCCCATGTCTGCAAGGCATAACAATATATGTTTTCTTTTACTAGGGTCATAATGACCCTGAGAACCCGGAGACAGTCCAAGACTCTGTTCCAAGAACTGCTTGCAGTTGCTTGACCAGCATGACTCGCTTGCAAGTCAGCTTGCCTGCAAGTGTCCTTGGTTGTGTTCTGATTCTCAGGAATCCATCATGAAGCCTTCATTAGGGCCTACACAGACCTCTTCCTCAGGGCCATCCTTCTGAGGGTGGACTGTGCGCCCAATGTGCATACCCCTAGGCTCGGGGCAGCAATGGAGTGTTGTGCATGGAGTTGAGATGTGTGAGGCCCCTAGGAGTATAGGATGGAGCTGGCTGTGGGAAGAGAAGGGGGCTGAGCCACAGACAGCTGGGGGTTGGCTCTCCCACACCACCACATTCCAGGGTGGAACTGAGAAGACCGAGAATTCTCAACCTAAACCTGACCTTCCAGATGGTTCCAAAGGTATATCCATCAATGTAAGAGGATAGAACATATTTCATTTAATAGTTTATTAGCTGGATATGGAACATTTACGTATTATATCTGGTAGAATGTGGGCCTTGATTTATTCTCTTGCCCCAGGCCCCATAAAAGTCAGGGGCAGACTGTTTAATACCACTTTGAAAACCCCACATCTCTTGATCTGTTCAATATTACACTAAGGACATATTAATAAAAGTTAACACTTCTTGTGTACTGGGTACTGTCACCAAGCAATTTCATTCTCTCAACAGTCACCCCCATTTCACAGAGCAAAAACTGAGACTCTGAGTAATGGGGTAACTTGCCCAAGGTCACACAGTGAGGTCGTGGGTGGGAGCAGGTCTGCCTGCTCCCTGTGCTCACCTTTGTCACCTTCCTACACTGTTTCCTGTAGACAGTGGCTGGGAGGTAAGTGTTGTTGCCATTTGACAAATGAAGAAGCTGTAGTTCAGAGAGGTTAAAGGACTTTCCCAAGGTCACAAAGCAAGCAAGTGTCTGAATGAATATCAGGTAAAGTCAAATACATTGTAATAGAATACATTATAATCAAACTAATTATAATAGAATACAGTCTAATCCAATACATTGTAATCCAATACATTGCAATCTAATACACTGTAATGTAATACATTATAGTCTAATACATTGTGGTCTATTACAGTGCAGCAAAGATGCCTAGCAAAATGTCACAGATGGCTCAAAAGCTGAGGTCTGTGGAATGTGGCCTTAAAAGCCCATCCTGGACAGGTTCATAATTTCTCTTCCTTCTCTTCCTCCAGTGATGATAATAATAATAATAATAATAATAATAATAATATTTACTGAGTTCACTCAGGGCTGAAATTGATATTAAGCACCCACATGGCATCTTCAAACCTTCAGAATTCCCTCTGGCACATAGGTTCAGTTATCATTCCCATACTATAGATAAAGCAAGAGGGACTCTGAGAGGTTAGATGTCATGCCTGACCCAGTAAAGGGCATAACATATTTAACTTCATGCAATCAACTCTTGAACATGTGAAATTGAATCTCTGTGACCCCGGTTTTCTCATTTTTGCTGCCCTGACCTCCACCCCCCACAGGCACCCTGCTGGCCATCCAGTTTGTCCATGCCATAGTGAACAGAATCATCCCAACTTCCAATGGCTTCATTGCTCCCACCAGACATGGCTATCTCATCCGTGAACGATTCCAGTGCCCTTCATCAAGAGCCTCCCAGCAGGATCCTCTCAAAAACTTCAAGAAGGCAGTGTGGATGGTCAAATCAAGGCAGAGAGAAGAGCTGGCTGCTGCTGCAGGGACACTGCAGGACTCAGGATTAGGAAATGCCCAGAGAAATAAATGCAAATCAAACAAACATTCACAAGTCTGCCTGATAGTATAGAACTGCCTATGGGGCTCCATGAGCTAGCAATCTGGCTGAAGTGAAGAAAATTATATGTTGATATATATCTGTCCCCAAGTCCTCAGATAATGTGACCCGACCTTGATTTTTTCATCTTTCCATTCTTATCTCCTTGTGGGCTCCATCTGCAGACCTGCCATCCACATCCCTAGGTTAGCAACATGGCAGCCAATTCAGTAGAAAAGAGAACTTCCCTTTCCCAGCAGTTTGAGCTAAAGTCCTGGCCTTGATTCTATTAGTCCCAGTTGGCTCATATACCCATCCTGAAATAATTAATTGTCTAGGAGAATGTAGCACTGTGATAAGCCAGCCTGACCCAATGACCCAACTGCCCAATTGGGCTGAGGATGGAGTCAATACCATCCAACTATGTGGACTGAGAATGGGAGAAGCTATTCCAGGGAGAGAACTGGGGTGCTGGTACCAGTGAAGTGAGGATGGATGGATGTGAAACTGACCAACCCACAGATGTGGATTATAAAGCTTTACAGTTTATAAAGCACCAGGTGCTATGGTCTGATCCTTATCACAGGAAGGGCAGGAGTTTCTGCATCACTTTACAGGCAAAGTAACTGAGCCTTGCAGAGGTAGCTGTGACTTGCTCAAGGTCACAGCCCTAGGTCAAGAGTTCTGAGAAACAACCAGGAGCCTTCCTGTCCCAATCCTTGCACCACCTCACTCCAATTTTAGTCTCACAAGCACAGCTATCTATTATTCCACAGGTGGCACACTCAAATGCCCACAGGGGCCAGTGAAAAATCTAGATGACTGTCGTGCACCCAGGTGAGGAACCGAGAGTGACGGAGACAATGGGAACATGGAGGACATATGCTCTGTCTAGGGTGGGCCTGGGCACCTTGACTCTACCCCAGAATCTCTGTGAGGAAAGCAGCCCACTTTTGCCAGAGCTTTCTGTTGTTGGCAAAGCCAGTAATCTAGATTTCTAGGCAAAATATTCCCACTGTTATATATTTTTTGTTAATCCTCACTTGAGGATATTTTTTCCTTTGTTTTTTTTTTTTTTTTAGAGAGAGTGAAAGGGAGGAGCAGGGAGGGAGCTAGCGCGTGTGCACGAGTGAGAGAGAGAGAGAGAGAGAGAGAGAGGTGAAAGACACATTGATTGGTTGTCTCCCACATGCGCTCTGACAGGAGCGGGGCTTGAACCTGCAACCCAGGTACATGCCCTTGGCTGGTAATGGAGCCTGAAGCCCTTTGGTGCATTGGCTGATGCTCTAAACACTGATCCACACCGGCCAGGGCAATAGTCCCAATTTTGAATGTCGGTGATTGGCTCAAACTTACAGCTTCAGACACATTTGGCCTGTGTGTCTCTAGCTCATAAGATGACTTTATGAACCAAGCTGGTGTTAAAACAATAAACTTGTTAGAGTTCTTCCATTTCTACTCTCTGGCTCCCAAACTTGGAAGATAAAGATGCTTTTTTTTTTTTTAATCTTAAAAACCAGAGGCTTTTGGTAGCAGATGGAAAGAGCTGCTGACATCTTCCTGACATGCTTTTGGACAATCTCGGCCCTGTGCAAATTCAACAGTCCATCTGTTTCCATTCCACTCAAGTGTATCTTGCTTCTTTGCCTGTAGTCTTCTCAAAGCCCCACTTGCTTCTAGGGCTTTTGTTGAAAGATAGGAGAGTCCAAATCTTCAAGGTGTTATTCTCCCTTTCGTGATATTCAGAGTTTCAGAAAAAGTAACCTTAGAAAACCAGAAGCTTTTGAGCTGGATGTGACCTTATTGGGCAGCAAGTTTTAAGGTTTTGCAGATAGCTAACTTAGGATCCCCCTCCATCTCCATGTAACTTAGATTGCAAGGGGAGCCCTTGAAAAAATAGTTACTCTCTGCCACCAGTTCTCTGAGAGTCAGGGAACAAAGTGGATGTTATGACAAAGTAAGACTTCTGGTTTAAAATGTGTGTCCATTTTAGCCTCAGTGAGAATCAATTGCTTTGTGGCTAAACACTAAATTGAACATATGAAAGGAATTTTTACTAATAAAATGCTACTCCGAATTGTTGCTTATTTTGGAGGCTTTGCAGTGAGTTTTCACTTGAGAAAGAGTTTGGTTGGTATAAATGTTTGACAAGCCCTGTACTTGGAGAAGTAACTTACCGAAGCTGTGGAGGAGCCAGGATGAGAGTGTGATCATCAACATCCTCACCTGGCTCTCTTATGCTAAAGTAGGACCCTGTAACGTATCATCCAAACAGGGACACTTTGTTTTTTATCCTCACCCGAGGACATTTTTGCATTTATCTTCAGATAGAGTGGGAAGGAGAGAGGGAGGAAGAGAGAGAGAGAAACATCGAGTGAGAGAGACACATCGAGTGGTTGCCACACACACGACCCCAACCAGGGCCGGGGACTAACTGCAACTGAGGTATGTGCCCTTAGTGGGAACTGAACCTGGGTCTTTCACTAAGAGACACTCTAACCACTGAGCCAAACCAGCCAGGGCAAGGGATACTTTTTGATGGTAAAAATGGATGTTTTTGTTTTGTTTGTTTGTTTTCTGTTGATCCTCATCTGAGAGTATTTTTTCCATTGATCTTTAGAGAGAGTGGAAAGGGCAGAGAGAGAGGGGGGAGGAAGAGGAGAGAAAGAGAGAAACATCAATGTGAGAGAGATACAATTGGTTGCCTCCCACACATGCCCCATCTGGGGCAAGGGGTTGAACCTTCAACCCAGGTACATGCCTTTGACCAGGAATCAAACCCGAGACCCTTTGGTCAACAGGCCAATGTTCTAACTACTGAACCACCCTGGCCAGGGCTTAATTGTTTTGTTTTGGTTTGTTTCGTTTACTGAGGTATAACTAACCTATAACATTACGTTAGTTTTAGGTGTACAACATAATGATTTGATATTTGTATATATTGCAAAATTATCACCACAAGTCTAGATTACATCTATTACCACAAAAAAGTTACAAAAATATTTTTCTTATGATGAGAAATTTTAAGATCTATTCTCTTTAGCGACTTTCAAATATACAATACAATGTTGTTAACTATAGTCATCAGGTTGGACATTACAACCCCAGAACTTATTTTATAACTGGAAGCTTATGACCATATTTACCGATTTCACCCACCCCTCAACCCTCCACCTTTGGCAACCACTACTCTGTTCCCTGTTTTATGAGTTTATTATTTTTAAAATTTATTTTAAAATTTACTTTATTTTAAAAGTCTAAAAACTATTGGCTTATCTCAACTTGAAAATTTTCAGACTCACAGCAGAGTTGTAATACGCAGAGAATACATTTACTCACCATTTGAGATTTGGTGATTGCCCTATCATTCTGTCTTCTGCTAAAACTATTGCAAAGTCAGGGCTGGGACTGGGGTGAGGAGAGTGAGGCACTCGCCTGAGACACAAAGTTTAAGGTGACATGAAAGAAACTCAGTAATCAGGATAAATAATATTTTACTACCACATTTAAAAAATCAAAATAATTAAAAAATGCATGACTAACAAAATACCAGTATTTTAAATAAAAAAATGGAATGTGACCCGCCCAGCCAGTTTGGCTCAGTGGTTGAGCATCGACCCATGTACCAAGAGGTTGCCAGTTAGATTCCCGGTCAGGGCACATGCCCAGGTTGTGGGCCTGATCCCCAGTGGGGGGCATGCAGGAGGCGACCAATAGATGTTCTCTCTCATCAATATTTCTGTCTCTCTCTCCCTCTTCCTCTCTCTCTCTAAAAAAAAGAGGAATTTGACCCTGCACTTTCACAGACTCACCTCGCTTGCGTCACCCTAAGTCCAGCCTTGGTGATATCAAGACACCTTACCTATAAATACTGTCAATGGCCCTGACTGGTTTGGCTCAGAGTTTAGAGCGCCGGCCCACAGACCAAAGAGTTGCGGGTTTGATTTCAGTCAAGCGCACGCACCTTGGTTGCAGTTCAGTCCCCGGCCCCGGTTGGGGTCGTGCGGGAGGCAGCTAGTGGGCTTGTCTTTCTCACATCGATGTTTCTCTTTCTCTCTCTTTCTACCTCCCACTCTGTCTGAAAATAAATGGAAAAATATCCTCGGGTGAGGATTAAAAAAATAAATAAATTTTTAAAATAAATAAATAAATCTTGTCAACGTAAGAAACATTAAAACTTGTGAAGAATTTTTGTGAGTTTATTTGAGCCAACACTGTCCACAATTGCCGGGAAACAAGATCTCAACCAATTAAGATAATGCTCCAGAGAATGGCAGTTTTGCACCATATTTTATACATTACAATAAAAAAAGAAGACGTGCCCAGTTGGTGTGGCTCAGTGGTTGACCGTTGACCCATGGACCAAGAGGTCGCCAGTTCGATTCCTGGTCAGGGCACATGCCTAGGTTGTGGGCCCAATCCCCAGTGGGGGCATGCAGGAAGCAGCCAATCGATGTTCTCTCTCATCGATGTTTCTATCTCTTTCTGCCTCTCCCTTTCTCTCTCTCTCTCAAATCAATACAAGAAAAAATTTTTTAATAATAATAAAAATTTTTTAAATAAAAAAGACATCAGTGGGTTACATGAAATCTGTAGGTAATTGATTAGTGAGGCGGGAGAAAGTAAAGTGGGGGTGGGGGACCTCTGGGACTGGATGAGAAGTAAACTGATAGAAACATGCTTCTTTTCCATTGGTGGTACAGTCAACAATTAACTCCATAACAATGAGGGGATTTGTGGTCTCCACAGAGCAGTGCCTGTGCTTTGAGGGGTCTGGAATAAGGAAAATTACTTTGACATTCTAAAGTTATGTTATCATAGATGCAAAAAGACAATAGACAGGCTCAGCTAAGGTAAAGATTGACCTTTGTCAGGGAAAATGCCTGCCTAGGACATGACTGCCTGCCATAAACTGTTCTTAGTTAAAATGTTTTCATTTTACACCATCCTTTGTGGTTACACTCTTCTCCAGGTGTGGGTCTCTGACTCCCCTGGGGTTCCCCCCTAGGTCCCCAGTCACTCTGCTCCGTCTC